CTGGTCGGCCAACCGCAGCTGACCGCGCACAGGCCGTTTGTGTTCAGCGGATTGTCGCCACGCATGGACTTGGCCCAGCGGTTGGCCAACACGTTGATGGCGCACGTGTCCGACGCTGTTTTCCAGTTGGTGCACCGGTCATGGAGCAAACGGGTGGTGAAGAAACATCTTGGCGTCGACTTGTCCGTGGACGAGTTCGCGTCCAACGTCAGCCTGGTGTTGGTCAACACGCATTGGTCCATAAACGGTGCGTCCGCTACCGTACCTTCCGTGTTGGAAGTCGGTGGAATGCACATGAAACCGTCGAAACCGTTACCCGCAGTTAGTATACAATTTATACGTTCATAGCTATGTTATTAACTTCAAAGCGACAATTTTGCTGTTATTAAATGTGAAAACATAAAATTTTCCGAATAAACGGAATGAGCTAAACATTTCAATGGTTGATTCGATTTTATAAAAGATGTTTAAAGCTTCGACAATATCGATTTTTATTATATGGGTTACGATATTAAAGGTTTGAGGCATTTTTTGTTACTTAATCTAATCGTTGGTGTAGTTAAATAGAAAACATGAGCACCGTGATCGCGCGTTAGTTTTCAAATAAAGAAACGATTTCTAATCAAAAGAATTACGATCCCAGTGACATCCCTTGGATGTGTTGTTATTAAAATAGTATACAAGAATAATTTCGTACTTGATATATTACCAGGAATACCGACCACACGCCCGCACCTATCTTATCACTAGCAGTGTCATTTGTGTTCATGTGCACATAATTTGCCAACATTCACTTTGCGAAAAAGAAACGCGAAAGAACTTGTTACCGCATTAATCATATGATTTCGTTTATCAATGTTCAATGTTTTAATTTTACGCTATACTTATTGAAATCGGAAACGCCGTTTGATAATTTTTTTTGCGTAGTGTATTATGTACCAATATTGTATTGTGTTGCGTTTGATCAATTTAATGTGAAGTGTCTGATCATTTTATTTTAAATTTTTTAAATGAGTTGAACGTTCCAGATTTGCTTATTGAAGAATTTCAAAGTAAGTTTTAATATTTATGATTTGTAAACATGTATGTGGTTTGAGATATTTTCCGTTGATTCACTAATTAACATAAATACCTACCACTACAATTTTCGGTTCACTACCCCTCGATAAATGTTCTATTGCTCTAAAAACTTTATCTTATCTTATTTTATCGAAATAAAATCAGTGATTATTAAGCCAAAGCAGAAGGTATCTGATTTTGATTAATCAAACCGGATTCACATTACACCATGACGTGTATTTTACCAGACTGCGTGCTTTTAAAATATGTGATACCAATATATATCTTACAGTGATACTATCAAATTTTGGTTACATATTTTCGCGGTTTTTTTATTAGATATGAAATATTATCATAAGTTTCAATAAATAATAACTGATAATTATTAAATTATGTAGTAGACCAGTGGCGCACACCTCATGTGTCAAGGGGGTTGGTCGACCCCTCGAAAAAAATTGAGCGATTAAAATATTTGCAATTTTCTAGATTTTATTTCAATTTTGAATATGTGAAACTCGATTGGATCTAGGCTCATGCCTAAGTTCCACTATATTAAGCTCCAAAATTACCTTCATTGGAATTTCTTTGATAATGTTTATGGGTAATGGGTGGGTGGTCGGTATTAATATAATATGTTCGACCCATGTCGGCAGGGATGGCGCGAGGGGGTGGGCAATAGGGGCAATTGCCTAGGGCCCCGTGCCTTAAATTATAATTAAGACCCCGCAGTTCTGATTTAACTGAACTTAAAATATTTTATTAATATAAATTATAAGACCCAACATTTATTCTGCCCAGGGCCTCGCAAACTCAAGCACCGTCACCACATATCGGTAAGAATGAGTGTTCGCCACTGTAGTAGACAGTATGTATTATATTATTATTAGGACTCGGAACTTAATGTACTTAAAAAGTACTAAATATGCATGCACTTATGCGCTTAGTAAAGTACAAATATGCTTTAAAAATATGCACTTAATATTTTCTTAACGCAAAAATGTTCATAAATAAAGATATTTTATTAAATATACTCGTACATAACAACAGTACAAATGTTGTTAGTATATTATACTAAGTTAAACATAATTTCTAGTTATAAATATATAAGATAAAATAAAATAAAATAAATAGCTTGAAATTTAAAATTTTCTTTCAAAATATTCCCTTTAGGTTTGTCATAAAAATAATTTCAAGGTTACTTAGCAATAAATTGATAAGCCCAATAAAATCATGCAATTCCATCATCTTCTGAGCCCTAATTATTATGTTTAATGTTATCATAGAATATTAAATTATTATTATTAAAATCGATAGCTAAACATTCAAAAGTTGACTGAAATCAACTTCACGGTAACATACGGTTAGTGAGATAATTTGTGATTTATCATAGGGTATAGCTTGATGTAAGAACATGGTTCAGCCAATCAGAGATAATTATTTTAGAAGACACGACACGGCACGGTGAAGTGTGAACCCAGCTTTATCGTAACGAAAATTGTTTGCATTTTTTTTTTCGAAAAATCGGAACTTTAATTTTAAAAATTTTAGGACTTTGCTTGTTACACCTGCCGGCTCCACTCACCAACTCTAACTAACCCTAACTTTTCGAGGGGATATTGCTTCGTCTCAAGGGGAATTATAGTCTACCCTAGTTTTTGTGCAAACCTTGATACTGTTGCAAATGAGATTATCCTTTGTGTATGAACTTAAAATTTTGCTGCTCGAGTAAATCACATATCTAGACCACAAATACAAGGTATTATACTATAACCAAACGATAATTCACAAAGTTATTATTTTATAACACGTAATAACGTAGATACTGTTTGAAAAATAACCAAAAAAATAAATAGCGTTAGTGAATTAACGAAAAGGTCTGCGGTTTGTATTGTTCGTAAGTTGTGTTCATTAAAATAAAACGAAACTCCATTTTAACCTATTATATTTATATTGGTATCCGGACTAAACATGATAATTTTATTACATTTTAGAACTAGGAGTCGAAGAACAAGTCTTCAAAAATTTAACTGAGTCAATGGTACCTACGTGAACTGGTTTCAAAAATAGGATTCAGTAGCAGGATATTAAAAAATATCGAAAAGTTAAAAATTTTATACACTACAATTTCTCTTTTTTAAAATTCGTGATAAATTTATAATGAACTAAATTTAAAGTTAAAATAGTCGTTTATACATTTCATGTAGTTTATAAAAATGTTTTATTTTATTGTTTTTAATATTAAATGTTATATAATGTAAATTTCAAAAACAATAAATTAAAATTATGAATTATTATTTTGTACCTAGTATCTACTTATCTATCTATCTACTCTATTTTTCTAATACTAAACATCAAAACATAAATAATATACTATGTATTAATCATTAATTTATAACCATTAGGTATATTGAAAAAATCTAGTTGATTAATACATAATAAAGTAACATACAACCACATAATTATGGTAGTTACTATAAGTATATGTAACTGCAACTAATAGATTATTTGGCGTAACTAAAATACATTCATGTTATAGCTAAATATTTCTTAATATGTTATTTTTATAACAAAAACACATATATATATATATATATATATATATATATATATTGAATAATACTAATTATTTGTAATCATAATCATTTTTGTTATTATTTCAATAATGTTTGTGGACAGTACAACAAAATAACTATGGTAGAATTACAATAAGTATGTGATCGTAACTGATGATTGTTATGTTGTATTAATAAAATATGTATAGTCGTTGTAACAAAATCAACAAAATCGAGTTAACAATATTGCTTTAGTATTTATAACATAACGTTGAAATTGTCTTTATAGCTACGAGAAAATATGGATAAGACAGCTATATAAATGGTTGAAGCAACTTAGCATTTTTTTTTTTTTGTATACGTCAAGTAGGCATTATTATTCATTGACGTGTAATATAATGCTTGAACATGTACAATGTAATCATTGCAATCACCAACTACAAATTCGATGTTTTATCACCATTTAACTTTAAGTACAAAAATACTGTTAATCTAATTGTTATTCATAATTCTTCGATGTTCGAGTAGTAATTTTTTATTTGTTTAATAGCTGATTTAGTGTTTCAATGATTGTACGATGTATATAAATAAATATTGAGGCAATCGTTTTGTAGTATTATGTATTAGGTTCGTATATCGTATATCGTATTTAATGCATAATATGGGTTGTGCAACGTTAAGTATAATTTTTTATAATGATTCTTTTCGGTAAGTTGATGTGCCTGAAAATCAATGGTTAACTATTAATATTTTACTTATTTTATCTATAACACTGAAGAAAATGTTATTTTAAATTAAAGCATACAAATGTTTGGTAAAAATATAAATCTATGGCTTTTTATAGCTTTTTAATACATGATAATTCTAAATATAGCAATACATGGCATATTACAATCTTCTAGAAATAGTTTACAGTTCTCAATTTTTTAATTTAATTTAATTTATATTATGATAGGTAGTAAGTACTTCATAAGCTTGTAACTTTGAAGTAATATAATAAAAACATTAGCGCATTTGAATTTATCTGTACTAGTCGTTCATTTATTATTATAGAATTCACTAGATGAATTTTATATGCAAATAATAATAGATATTTGTTGTTTAAATCAATCTAATTATTATTTATCAAAATAGTAATTATTAACTAATCGTTGCATTAAAATAGTGTAGATAAATATAATTAAAAAAAAAAATTTTTTCTATACTTTATAAATTTTTTTTATTTGAATTCTGATGAAAATATTACTCCATTAGTGCAACAAATTATTAATCTACGTAGTCATTGAAGACATTTTAAGATATATTTATAATATCTATGTATATAAAAGTCTCGTGTCACAGTATTTGTGATCTCCTTCAATTTATTATAGTAGTAGTTATACTTAGTATTTGATTACTCCTCCAAAACGGTTTAACTGATTCTGTGGCGGCTCGTGAACTGAATGAGGAATGAAGCAGATATTTTCAAAATGTATATAAAATCTCACTTGTGAGAATCATACTAAGATTCTTTAAAAGAACGAGAACATACCTTTGTATTTGAATATATCATATTTAAATTATTTAATGCAATTACAGGCCGACCATCGTTCAATATATCGGTGGGAATATGGTGTTGGTAGTAACTTCATAATAATATCATTATACGGAAACATAATTGCTATAATAGTTGGTTATTATCTTATATATTAAAAAAAATGTATGAAAACTAAAGTCCGTCTATCCGTTTTATCCGGCCGATTTCTTTAATTTTTTTTTTTTAAAGAAAGGTATTTAGACACAGATATGTCATTTCATTATACAATTTTCGATTTCCCTTCTTTTTATACTTAATATTATAATCAAATCGAAAATAAGAGGCAAAATATACTAAGCCTCTCGGAACTCTTCGACACTCCGGCTTTCGGTTTCATCGACCATCAAAGATAAATTAAATAAATTTATCTTATCTGTGTGTGGTGTATCGGGGTGGATAACTACACAAAAAAAAAAAAATATATATAATATTCATAATATTCAAATACTGCAATATCAGCATGAACACAAAATTATTTTTCATTGTTTATTATTTCAGTGTTAAAGCCGTTTTTTGTCAACCGTTTTCTTTACGTAGACGCTTTTTCTTATATGTATATAAAATTGTTTATAATAAAAATGAGTTACTTATTAATAAGTGTAATAAATTGATTAAATTTTTTTGTTCCCAAAATCAATAATAGTACTTAATTTTGTTAATAATTATTAAATAAGAAAAAAACGGTTTGTAATTTAAATGATGGAGATATATTTTTTAAACACTAAATAACCTATAATATACAATGTTTCGTTGTATTTAATTAGTTATAATTAAAGATTAGATATAATTGCATTAAAAATATATAAAAAAGATGCCAAAATTGCAATAAAAATGTATCGAAATTGCAGTATAAATATGTTAAAATTGCAATGAAATACATTAAAATAACATAGTAAAATTATATCAAATATATAATCATTAATTACTTACTTAAATAATATTATGAACATCAATATAATATTTACAAAATATATCATTTTTCTGAATTAAAATTTATAATTATATCCATTTCTAAAGTGTGTTCTTGAAAATTGTATCGTCTGTTACTTAAAATATGTTTATATAATGAGAACGTACGTTCAACGTCGACAATTATTATCAATGCATATTTAAAATAGTTTAAAAAATTGGGTGATGTGTCTAAATAAACATTTTGATTTCCTGTCATAATCTCAGAGTAAGTTTTAATAGTCTTATATCCTTCATTTTTTTCTAAGACATATTTTAATTTATCTTTAACTATTTTTCCATTAGGACCGAGAATATTTATAGAAATATTTATGCTAAATATTTTTATTTAATTAGTATTTGTTTAGTATTTATTTATTTATTTAGTATTTATACTAAATATGTTTAAACTATTAAGTAATTGACTATTTGATTCTTTCAAACTTGTGAGTTTTGTGGATAATTCAGATAAATATAATTTTAACATAATCATTTTAATATAATAACATTTTTTGCCTTTTAATTTTAATTATATTTAATTGATTATAAAAATAAATAAGAATAAATTTGATACGGAAAAAGAAAGAAAATTACTAATTATTTTTAAACAAATATATGTTACTAATTATTTGTTAGAATAAAAAAATATGAGAAAATTTTTTTTTGTAAATTATTTGATAAATTACTTTTAATTGAAACATTTTTTAATACTTATATTTTTTGAGATATTAAAAAACCCACATTTTTTAACTATTATATATATAATATTTATATGACCTTATAAAAAATATGGAGTACGTTTAACTGAGGATTTTAGTATAATAAAGAATATATTTTAATAAAATTGTTAAAAAAATCTTGATTATGATTTATTTTGGCATTTCTCCGTTTTTGCCTGACCTGTCTAGATATCGGTTAAATATGATGAATTTTTAGTTGATATTCATACAGCTTTTGCTGAATTGTCTTAATACCAGTTATATATCCCCAGGTATATAGGGGGAGGAGGTGCCTAGTGGGCTACAGCCCCCCTCCCCCGAAATGTTTCAAAAAACTTAAAAATTATTTTAAACGTTTGTTATATTTTAATGGTGCTTTATGCTTATTTGGAAATAATTTTATAAAAAGAAAAATGATTTTAACCTAGTTGCATTTATTTTATTCAATTGTACTTCAATAGTTCACATTAAAATGTTTTAAGGTTCTCATTTTATGGTTCAATGTTTATTATTAAGAATTAATTATACATGAATAAATAAATTATAATTGTATAATACGAGTACATTTTATTCGTAATATATTTTATTATAGAAATAGTCCAGTAGACATACTCGTATATTAAATAGTGAAGTATTACATCACATATCCTTTGTTCATAAATATAGGTTCATATTTACTATAAGAAATACGTAAATAATGTGATCAGTTGAGACAATTTTTATTACCTTTGTCAAATAGTTTTGGGACATTCTGTAAATGAAATGTAGATAAGTACCTACTGTGTCTTGTTAGTAATCCTTAGATAACAGTGGCAATTTAACTCTGTCCATGGTAGCCCCCGTCCCCTCGAAAATATTTTCTCTATTCGCCACTGCTTAGTACCACATACTGTGTACTATTACTATAGTCAATGTATCAAAACTGAAAACAGACATTGATGTCTTTAGTTTAATTGCAGTATTAGTGTATTAAGTATAATGTCTCATTTTAAGGGTCAACTATTAATGACTCGATCAGAATCTTTTTTAGAAGTACAAAATTGGCAATGAATTTACATTTACACATGCATCCGCAAAAATTGGATCTATAATATAATTTAAGCGAATGCTTTAATTTATAGTAAATAAATACTATTATATTTAAGTAACTTGAAAAAAATTGAATGAAATTACTTTAATTTTTTTTTATTTTAGATAATATTTACAGTTCGTATGTAATGAGCAAATAGGCAGAATGAATCAGATAACAGTATAAGGAATTTATATAGTAATACGGATTTTTTGTCGATTTAATTATGAGATATTTTGAAACGCCTTAGGGGATTATTTACTAGAACATAAGCCTATTTTTTGGCTTGAGAATTGAAATTTATTTCAACTTAAAAATAAATTTGTAATACTTCATTGGTAAAATTATTTGAACATGATAAAAACTGTTACGTTTACAGTTCTATAAATTAATGAACAAGTAAAGTATAGTACGTCTGAACTATGAACTCTGAGCACTTTAATGTATGTATTTATGAAGTATATCTTATTAAGTATTTATACTATTATATATAGTAAGTATTATCTATATCAAATTACAAGTTATCAGATTTTCTTACAGGCATCCAACTAACATATCCTAATCCTGCAGGTCTTAGGTAAAATAAAAATTTGAAACTATAAAAATATTATAGACTACAGTACAAAAATTATAACATGATATTAAAATGTAAATTATATTAGTTTACTGATTATTTTTATAATTGTTTTTATAAATAGAACACAATCAACTCAAAAAACAATCGTTTGCTTTATTTTTGAATAAAATTAAAAATAAATTATGTATTTCTCTTATTACGAAATTATAATTAAGTAATAATAAATAAAAAATAAAATATCAAATTTACTATAGTATAAATAATTAAATATTGTAATTTATAATATTATAAAAAAACTTGGGCTGCTTATTTTTTATTTAATCATGTGTGTGCACATGTAATAATTGCACACAATTATATGTTATATCATTTATTGTATAATAACATACTCGAATTATAAAATCAATAGTTATAAAAATATAATTGAAATTAAAATACATATTATAAATACAATATATTCACTTCCTACCTACATCATCCACCACCAAGTAAGTTAAATTCATAAGCTGATAACTATTATGTATAAAAACCTACTAAAATACACACGGGGAACTTGTTATTGACCTTATTGTCTTATTAATATTGGTGTTGGTATGGCGGAGAAATTACAATAAAAAATATAATAACACCACTTTATAAAATATAAACTTAAACATTTATGTGTGGAATACAAAGGAAGAGATTAATTAATTTGTAAATTGAAGGTACTAATAGTAAATCAGTTATCTTATATTCTTATTATTAACCACACCTATTATTCAACAATGATAATAAATTATTTTATCTATGCAGTCAACAGTTGTAATAGTTGCAGAGTTACGTTGGATAGTTTTATTTTTCTTAAAGATTGAATATGTTTAATACTTATGATATTAAAATTTATAACAGTTAAACATTTAACTTATTGCTGTTTGTGTTTTATAACTTAAAATTGTAACTGTAATAATATGTTTCGATTTTTTTTGTCATCTAGAACAGCGGTTCCCAAACTGTAAGGCAATTATGTGAGACGCAAGGCAAATATTTATATTTTATATTGTCATATATTTATTTTTATTAATTTTTTTTTTTTTTTTTTTTTTTGTTTTGGGAATGCGTAACCTAAAAAAGTTGGGGACCACTAATCTAGAATATTTTAAATTGTCTTTAAAAATATATCACTTATATATTCGCATTTACTATTCTTAATAATTGTGATAAATTAAGCAAACTATTAATTGTTACCTATAATGATGGATTTATTAATAACTACTATTATTATTTGTACTGCTGTGATTTATCCTGTTAACACAGCCAACATCTTAGTCGTATTCTATAATCGTGCTTTTAGTCATAATTTTGTATTTATACCATTATTTCAAGAACTCGCCTCTAAAGGTCACAATATTACTTATATTAGTAGTTATCCGATACAAAATCCAAATATCACTAACATTTCAACAAAAGAATCTATACCCATTGTACAAAACACAATTAATGTGACTCACGTTCAATCAATAAATGCTTTTCATGAATCAATGAAGATTATGTGGGATTTTTATAAAAAAGGAATAAAATATGATGCATTGTTTACGGTGGACGATGTAAATATATTACTTAATGGCCCATCTAAGTATGATTTACTCATAGCAGAGCACTTTAATAGCGAATTGTCTTTGGTTTTCGCGTCAAAATTCAATATACCTTATATATTGTTGAGTAGTTGTAGTTTATTGCCATGGAATCAACAAGTATTTGGACAATCATACGCATTGGCTACTTCACCTGTAACATTGACCGGTCTATCTCCAAAGATGAACTTCTACGATAGAATTAAAAACACTATTTCCAACGCTGAGCAAGTAATAGGTTATAATTTTTTATGCCGGAAACGAGACGAAGAAATCATTAAAAAGAAACTTAAAATAGATGTGTCATTAGATCAATTAGTTAAAAATGCTAGTTTATTAATGGTCAATACACATTTTACAATGTTTGGGTCTAGAGCCTATGTACCAGCTATTGTAGAAGTTGGTGGAATTCACATACAGCCAATTAAACCTTTACCCACGGTAAGTTACTAATATTTTATAAGAAAATATTAAATTACGTTATTGTTCGTGTTTTTTTATTGAAATAGTATATAAATTGTTCTATTTATTATTAAACTTTGTTTTGAAAATTCCATCCAACAAATGTCAGTTGTTCTAATGTCTGTATAACTATTGTAATTAATGCTATTTTTACGGATAACACGAACAATTATAGACTATAAAGAAAAAAATACCATTATAAGAAAATTACTATTATAATCTTGTCAATTATACAAAACACTTAAATCTAAAAAATAGCTAAACAAATAATACATTACATGTGTTGTGTACACGTTCGGAAAACGGTTGGATCATTCAACTATACATTGTGTGGTAAAGTAGCACAAAAGTGCGCGTTAAGATTCGATCGACGAAAATGAATAATTCACCGTCCGTTCGGAAGATATCGTTGATGATTTTGTTCTTCCGCAATGCTCTGTGCAAGAACATTTTAGGAGTTTTTCCCATCGAAGCTCAAAGTCATCAAATAGTGTTTGACTCGTATATGTCTGAACTACACCGCCGTGGTCATAACGTGACCGTCTACTCGCATTTTCCTGAAATTGCCTCTGAACCGTACAAGATAATTAAAATCAGCAACACAACTACGTCAGTACTGAACCCAAACTACATTACCATGGACAACATGAACTCGCCGTCGATTTTCAACAGTTACAAGCACATGTTTTGTCTGGTAAGTAACGGTCAAGCGTATGCGCAGTCCGATTCGCTGCGTGAGCTATACGCTCAGCCGGAAGACACTTACGATCTAATTGTGACGGAAACGTGCAACACAGACCTTTACCTAGCGTTGGTTGGACGGTTCAAAGCTCCGTTCGTTGCGTGGACCACATCCCCGTTGTTCGTGTGGTCCGCAGATCGCATGGGGACGTCCAGCAATCCTGCGTACATACCGGTCCTGATGACACAGCACGGAACGGACATGAGCTTCTTGGAACGATGGGAGAACACGTTATTGCGGTCCGTAGCGTTTTACAAATACTTCATAGATTCGACGATTCCTTCGCAGGAAATTGCTACGAAACATTACAAGTCTTTGATGCCGTTGCACCAGTTGGTGTTCAAAACTAGTTTTCTGTTTGTTCACACGCATTATTCGCTCTGGGGGAGTAGGCCGTTACCTCACAACGTGGTCGAAGTAGGAGGTTTACACGTTAGACCGTCAAAACTTCAAGACGCGGTAACACCCTATTTATGATTTTCCAATCTAATAAAATATAACCGTCAAAAGTAAGAGATAAAATGTTCTGTGTAGGAAAGTGATGACCAAATTATAATTTTGAAAATTTCTAATCCCACATAAGAAAATTCGTGTAGAAAAAATATAATTATATTGTTTAAATTACTAAAACATTGAAATTGTATTTTTTATATCATGATGTTTACCATAGTCATGTCAACAATTTTAGCGCCCCGGGGCAAAAAATTTTCTTCGGGTACACTGGGCACAAGTAGCATATTAAGTGCAGATAAAGGCGCCCCCATACTTTAACAAAACAACGGTGCCTAGAGACCATTGCCCCCTTAACTCCTTTAACTCGTCTCCGATGGTTACACTTATAAGATTTTAATCATAAACTAAGAGCTAATATTAAGGAAATGAGCGGGATGATAAAATAAAAACATGTAGAGATTAACTTTTTTTTGGGTATAACAATAGTTTTTATTTCACGTTAACTTGATATTGGGATGATGCCGCAAAGCCAGTATTCACTAGTCTGATAGTGTGAACACGATAATGTATCTTTGGTACCTTAATTATTGTATTAAATAAAGTCTAAAACATTACTAGTATTAACTTTGATTATTGAATAAACTTGGTAATAAATATATTTTATAATTAATGGTATTAGGTATATTTTTTATGTAAATTTATATACTTATATTTTATGGATTAGTCGATTTCCTTGTTAGTAAATCGTCGCGAAACGTTATAAGTTTACGGTGTTGTTACACTAGTTAGACTAGAGTTCTGCTTCTTGACACGACTTATTCTCTTCGAGGTGCAGACCCGTATTTAAAAATTTGGCGCTCCTAGGCATATAACTTATGCCCCCCCTCACAAATAAACAATAATAATACAACACTTATTATTTCGTCCATAATCGAGATTCTTTAATATTAAAATATAACTTATAAATGAAAATCGTTTAGTACTTTTTCTAATTAACAAATTAAACAGATTATAACATAGTAAAACATACAATTTCCTTTTTTTGAATTAATAAATTATATTATAATAAAAATACAATTTTTTTTTTATTGTTTTATTTTATTTTTTCATTAGAGATATCATTTTTTAAATTAATTTTGCTAAAATATTTTGCCGCCCCTGAGACTTTACGCCCCCGGGCATGTACCTACCCATGCCCCCCTAAATACGGGCTTATCGGAATGGTAAGTCGTTACCTCACAACATGGTAAAAGTAAATGCTTACTCGTTATTCCATCAATACTCTTACACAGGATTTCAATATGACAACGAAACAACTATTATATTATAGCATATAATATGGTCATATAATATATTATCACCTATATATGAAATAAATTAAAATCATGTGTAATCGTTTAGGATATTCAAACATTTATTGACGAAGCAGAACACGGAGTAGTTTATTTCTGTATGGGCAGTTTATTACGAGGTGAAACTTTTCCAGTTGAAAAAAGAAAAATGTTTTTAAAAGTCTTTGAGAAAATTCCGCAACGAGTTCTATGGAAATGGGAAGGAGAACTACACGACAAACCCTCGAATGTTATGATACGGAAATGGATGCCTCAGCGAGATATATTAGGTAAGTACTTGCCCTATATCAATTTTATATTACGAGTATTATATTAATTTAAATAGTGCCTGGATTTCATAAATACATAAAAAATATTAAATTCAATCTATTAACTTATATTTATAAAAATATTTTGGCAATAAAAGTTAATTTATGTTATATTGAAATGGGTGATGGTAAAGTGTGGCAAAATTAATCTTTTTCTAAAAGTCTATATGAAAATTGCGGCAAGAAAAAGTTTAACATTATACAATCTGCGACAAAATCGATAAGATACATTATAAAAGATGTGATAACTTATTTTATATACCTACAAAATTATATACTATGTAGTATGTAATATGTACCTATTTATGCCTATGTACGTATATTATTTAATTATATTACATCTCGCGTATATAATGGCAAGGTGGATCCAAATGTATTTGTAAGTTTTAACGTAACATATTAAAATCGGTTCCTAAAAGAAGTAAACTGTTGATAATACTAGTTAGTACCTACCTACCAACAGTGGCGCACACAGGGAGGGTCAGGGGTTTCGACTGACAACCCTCAGAGAATTTGTGGATGGCTAGTTCTGTGTGAACTTGTATGAATATTTGTTTAATTTAATACTAACCAATTTTTCAGCTATCCAAATCAATATACTAATTATGTTTACCCTAGAACTGAAGCGTCACATGAGAATAAGTAATAAGGCTCAATCACAAAAATTATGCTATACAAATTTATAAATTAATACCCAGAAAATTGAAAAATAATTAATATTAGGTTTATTTAAAATTTTTTTTTTTTAATATCTCTGTTAGTAAGAAAAAACCAAAAATACTTAAAAATAAGAGTTATACTATGCCTAAACTCAGATTTTACTGGTGGGGGTGAGTGGGTACTTCGAAATATATATTTTCGACGCCCTTGTCAAAAATTTTCTGTGCGCCACTGCCTACTAGTATAATATGTCAAGTAAAGTAGTTAAAAGTTTAATATTTAATTCAACGTGATGGAATTTACAATAATGTTTAGCCAGAATTGCAAATAATTTTAAATCCAAATTTAATTATGAATCAATAATAAGTGGTAATAAAACATGGGAACACGGAAGACGTAACATCATATAATTAATTAACTGATATACATAGATAGGTATACATAGGTACATACTACCAGGGATGGAACTAGGGGGTGGAAAACGGGGATTCATCCCCGAGTGTAACATTTGAGAAGGTGTAATTTTTGTAATTATTAATAACTAATTTGATATTTTTAACTTTGTTAAATACTGATATGAAATTAAAACTCAATAAGTATGATTGTATATTAATTATTAGAAAAAAATTCTCGAAAAGAGTATTAGTATATGATAGGGCGTAATTTTAACATTTTCTCCAGGCTAAAAATTTCTAGTTCCACCTTTGCATATTACATACTATATAGTATATAATATCGTATACGATATATATTATACCTATAGGTATATAAAATATTGTTGCAGATTGTATAAGGTAAAATTTTTTCTTCCCGCAATTTACATACAGCCTTTAATATAATTTAATAATATCAAAATCTACAATCCTTGTATATATGTAATTTGTATTCAAAAATATTTTGATTAAGTAAGTATAAAGTTTTCTTCTTGAGATTTTTAATAATTACGTTTGATATAAAATTACTATAACTAATGAAATCTTAAAATTGAATTGTTTGTATTGGTACAATAAATAAAATGTATGCCAAAGGTTTCATTTTTAAAAATGTTCATTGTTTTTAATATCAAAAAATATAACATTTATTGTGTTTGTTTACAGCTCATCCTAATGTTAAATTATTTATCTCTCATGGTGGTTTATTGGGAACTACTGAAGCTGTGTATGAAGGCGTTCCAATTTTATCAATACCAATTTTTGGTGATCAAATGACAAACGTCAAAGCTGTTAGAGATAAAGGAGCTGCGGAGATTATGTATTATACTGATTTAAATGAAGATGAAATTTTTACAAAAATAAATTCAATGCTTACAGACCCTACGTAAGTGTTTTATGAAATTGTCTGCATAACATAGCTACATGAAGTGCTATATGTACAGCTACATGAATGCATACACTACATTTAGCTTAATTTAAGATGTGTGTCAGAAGATTGTTGATTATGTTTCATATTAATTTGTATAATTTAGATATAAACAAAAAGCCAAAGAGTTATCAGAAGTATTTCGCGATCGACCTATGTCTCCTCTGGAGACTGCCGTGTACTGGACTGAGTATGTTATCAGACACAAAGGGGCACCACACCTTCGTTCAGCTGCTGTTGGAATGCCATGGTACCAATATTATTTAATCGATGTACTGTTGGTAATTTTTATATCGATCGCAACTATCTTTGTATCATTGTACTACTTAATTTTCAAACAAATTTTACGACTTATATATAAAAAAAGTAAAGAAAAACAAACATAATCTAGTAATTTACATTTAGTTTAGAAACTATAAAATAACAAATCCAATTGTGCTATAATAGTCATTATGTTACATTTATAAGTAGGATTTCCAATGCATTGTAAAATAATTATTATTTGTATTGTTCCACTGAATTTTGTAGTGCGATTTGAATAAATTATGCGTTTGTAAATGTATCTAAATTTTGTATGTTGTTTTTAAAAATATAATTCATAATTCATTATTATATTCAAAACAATAAGAACTATATTTATTTTTATGTATCTAATTAAGAGTACCTATTGTTATATTATATGTAAATATCACGGCCTAAAATAGTGTGCAGTACGACATTATTAGTGTAGCACGAAATTGGAATAGTGCAGTACAAAATGAAAAAGTGTATCGATTATTTTAGTGTAATATTTAGACTGACAATGCCGTTAATAGTTAAAACTTTTTTTTTTATGTTTATCTTATCAATTTATGTTACTAGATAAGCTATAAAGGATTATGATATTGTACTTTTATTCATTATCGTTGTATGGTACCATGAACTAAAATATTTGATATTATATTATTATTTATTAAATATACTGTATACCATAATTAATACGTAGTAAAATTCCTTTTGTGATAAATGATAATGATAACTAAACCAGATAAAATTCTGATGACAATGGCATTAACAGAAAAATAAAAAATTGAAATTAATGTTTTCTGATTTTGGTCCACTTGGTTTTTGCCTTTTATAGGTAATATAATAGTATACTTAATACCTTTATTGTTTAGTATATAACTTCACTTGTAGAACTACACTACTACGATGCTATGGGTCGTTTTGTTGTTAAAAAAATAACAGCCGAGGATGATGAAAATGTCGAGAAGTGTGCTAAAATTCAAAATAAAAGTAATTATAAATTTTTAATTTTTATTGTATATATTATATTGAATATTATCATGAGTTTTTATAAATAATTATTATTTGTATTTAACTTTGAATCACAAAAAATAATAAAAATTACAAATTGATTATGATATGAATGACTATAATATTATATTATAAAATATAATATGATACTGATAGTTTGGTTTTTATTACTTTTTAAGTAAAGGTTAATTAATGTTAGTTAGAAAATATGTATATGAATACATATGAATATATATATATATATTCATATTTATATATATCATTTAGTCCCTATTGAACATAAAGAATGCATTAAAGTAGAAAGTATGAAAAATCCATCAATATCTGAAGTTAATAATAATGCACCTTTGAATAAACTTATTTTAAAACAAAATGAAAAATTAGGTCTCAAAATTGGAAAATTTAGAATTGAAGTGTTTAATGATGCTAAAAGAGGTACTCTCAGTCTTGGCAATCAAGATAGGTTGTGCAAATAAAAAAAAGTCAATTAAATTTGTTAGTACCACCTAAAAAAATTGTTATTAAAGAAGGCGACTTACAGTACATCAATCCAACAACACATAATGAATTATCAAACTCAATAGTTGAAACAGACAAACCGTTATTAATGAATAGACTGAAGACCACACTAGCTATATCACTCAGAGTTGATGGTTCTGTTGATAGAACACACATTGACAACATTCATGTATTGACTATAATAATAACAACAAATGGAGATTCTGAACTAGTATTAATAGGTTTTAAAAAACATATTCAAAAAGGAGCAATTGGATATTATGAAGTAATTAAATCTTTAATACAAGAGTTAATGCCATTTAATGATTTTTTATCCATTTTGTCTTCAATTACAATGGATGGAGCAAGTGTTAATATTGGACAAAAAAAATGGATTATGAGCGTTGATAGATTCAAATAGATATTCCAATAATATTTAAGAACCATTATTAAAAATGTGGTGTGCTGTGCATAAAAGTACCTTAGCATGGACACAACTGACATCTAATGTAATTGAAGTGCATAAACTTATTGTTGCATGTTCGACTATTTCTTCATACTTCCATCAATCTGGTTTCAGAACCAAAGAATTGAAGGATATAGCAAATAATGAAGGTATGAGTTTTATACAGTTGCCAAAATATTTTGAAGTGAGGTGGACTGAACTTACATACAACTTAATTCCAAGAATTTAGAAAAATTGGCGTATTTTAGTTAAATATTTTTTAAAAAAGAAATTAGAAGATAATGATGTTAAATCTGAGGAATTTTACAAAATATTGATAGATTATGACAAGATGATGTTGCTTTGTTTTTTAACGGACCTTGGTTATTTTTATAGTAGATTTCAAAAGCAAATTCAAACGGATGATGTATTAATATTTGTTCGAACACGGTCAAGTTCCTGCCGGCATCGCCCGAGACGGCTCATAATAATCCGCTCAATTTGAGGCACTGCCTAGCGGTTTAGCTTTCCCCCCTCTGTCACGTACGGCCTAAAGCAACGGCAGGCAAAAGTGGCGTATCCATGGGGAGGTTTGGGGGTCAGAACCTCCCCCCCCCATGAACCTGAGATGGTAAATTAACTTTTAATGAAACACAGTTTTTTCTTTAACATTTTTATATTATAGAATTTTGACTTGGAAATCATATTAATAGTTTGTATAAACACTATAAACGTATTATAAACAAGCTGCACACACAGACACACACACACACACACACACACACCCACACCCACACAAGTCATAATATTATGATCATATTTAGGTACTTTACTACTACTTTGTTAATTTTTGCATGGGAACATATTATTTAGGTTTTCTTCAACGGTTAATTCTAAATCGGTCGTCTGGTCTCGATAACTGACATAAAAGCGATATCATTGCCTGTATTCAGTTTATTTTGGGTATACCTATTGCATTCGCGGCTCGCCGTTCATTTAACACAAGCACCTTATTGTGTAAAATTAATGGTTAGTCGTTGCCCTTTGGTGTCTCACTGTTTTACTTACTACTCGTTTATTCGTTTATATTTGACATTTATACTCCATTATATTTGTTTTATTTTAATTTCACATCATTCTAAGACGTCTAAACATGACATTATGGTAAGATATTTTTAAAATTTAATTTTTAGTATACCTAATTGAATGGACAGAAAGTATTCTAATATCTAATATTTATGTTCTTATATAGTTCCTAAATTGTTATTATTATTATTATTATTTATTATTATAGGCAAATTCTCTAACAAATAAGCAGACTAAAAAAATTAATTATTTTTTTTTACCGGAGTAAAAAAAACTAATGTTAATCAGATTTAAAAATACCTAGATCAATACAAATAGTAATCAAAATGATAGTGATAAGATTAAATATATATAAATTTGCCCCCCCCCCCCCCCCCCCATAAAAAGACTACGCCACTGATATATACGTCTATAATTGGATTTGGTAATTTTCGATTTAGTTGGTACAGCTTTTCAAATTTCGGACCTTATCATTTCTTAGGTCTTTATCATTTTTCGGACAAGTGCCAATCACTCTATATACATCTGTGAGTTTTACTGTATTACGATTTTATATAATGGTAACAACGGTTGTTATCATATCATGGGTGTGATAACATAGTTCTTTAGGGAAGAGTAAAAATCATAGACAAATAATCATAAAATTCTAATTTTTGTTTTCTCCAGTCTATGGTAGGTGTGTACTAACTAGATTTTTTCCGTTATTTTAATTTATTTTCATAAAATTTGATTTTTTTAAGTGAATGTATTAAATATTTTATATTTATATATAAATATTGTTATGGACCCAAGGTATATTTGAAAAAAAATTTTTCAAACTTCTTAGGTAATTATGTGTTATATATATTGTTATATAAAAATAAAATCATTAATATTACTAAGAAGTTATTATTTAAGAACAATTAAAAATGTTAAAAATGAATTAAGGGATTGCTTTTAATATTTTCATGATTTGATTTATGTTAGTTTTATAAAGTATATTTAATTTTTGTAGGGATTACTTTTGATTATGTGAGTTCATACTTTTATTTTCATTGTATGCTATGTTAATACTTATATTTAATAATTTTAAATTATTATGGTTTTTGCAGTTTTTAATACAAATTAGCAGTCTAAAAAATGTATAGATATAAATTGTTGATATAACTGTATATCAACAATTTGTATCTATAACTATATTATAAGCCTGTTTGGCTTATGAGTGCTTTTTTGCATTAAATCAAGTGTATATGCTAGGAAAATTAGGATATTTATCAAATTCCACTTTATGGGTTGGTCTAATTTTTCATTTTTATCTACTGAAAAATGAGCCATTTCATGTATTTTTGTGAATATATTAAATTTTGTTAGATAGAAAACTAAAATATTGTGTGAGTACTATATTAAAAGCGTTTTTAAAATAATCCTATTTTATTTCTTAGAATGGTGTTACCGGGTAATTCCATGTCAGATTCATTAGATGATACTAGTGAAGGTGTTGGATTGGGATGCTGTTTAATACTTTTTACAGAATGGAAACAAGTTCTTGGACTCATTGATGAATTACCAGAATCATATACAAATGAAAGTTTTAGTGAAAAGTCATATGAGCAATTGAAATATATACTTAATCAGTATACAGAACAACCACATTTGATTGATCCATATTTATGTGAAATATTGGAAAAAATTTTGTGTATTGTCCGAGATCCAACAAAACCATCTCAATTAAAGCATAAGGCATTTAGTTATTTGTTTTTGATTATTAATGTTCGAGGTTATAAAGTAGTCTTGCAAAATTTGCCTCATGAAGTAAGTTTATTCTGATTCTAAAATTAAAACGGTGTGAAAAAAATAGTATTTATATGATTTTGATCTTTTAAGGTTTCTGATTTAGAAAAAGTTTTAAAAATGTTAGAAGAACAAAATGAATCTGATCATGACTCATGGGAAACTCGTTATTGCTTATTATTGTGGCTCTCTATAATTGTTATAATACCCTTTGATATGCGGAAACTAGATGGAACCATGCATATAGAGTGTAAAACTACCTTACAAAGGTTAGTGAAAAATTATATTTTTTAATTTATAAATACATATTTAAATTCTTCTTTTCAAAATGTAGATTAGTTGATGTAGTCATGAAATATTTAAGTTCTGGTGATGCTTGTAGAGATATGGCTACAGTTTTAGCAACTCGTCTTTTTACACGATCAGATGTTAAAGAATCCCATCTTCCAAATTTTCTATCTTGGGTTAAATTAGTAAGTTTTTTAAATAAATATATTAAATAAAATCATAAGTTGCTGGTCATTTGAAAATCTGTAGAAAATATCAGATGAAAAAGCAACTCGATGGGAAAGGTTAGGTGCAATGAGTAGTATTGCTGCTATTTTTAAAGCTGCTAGACGAGAAGATGCACAACAATTTGTAGAAGATATATTTGAATGTTTAAAAAAATCAAAATGTAAAAGTGATACTTTGAGGTTGACACGGAAATATTATATGAAAATTGTTCAAAGAGCTGGTTAGTACTATTTTTTTTTCTATTTATGTATTTTTGTTATTTGATATTTTATAATATTGTTTAATTTAATGAAGGTTTGACGTTATTGAAAGTTCGAGTTGCAGCTTGGCGCTATGATCGCGGAACTAGATCATTGGAACAGAATTTATTAAGTATTGAACCAAAGGCACTTGAAGCAAAAAGTGTTCAGAATACAGAGGAAGATGATGACGATGATGTTTCTCCTATTTTAGAAGATATTATACAAGAATTGATAGAGGGATTAAAAGATACTGATATTATTGTCAGGTAAACTTTTAAAAACAAGTGCTTTTAAAAATTGTATTTATTTAAAATGTTATTTGTGTAGATATTCAGCTGCTAAAGGAATAGGTCGAATAACTGGTAGATTATCAAAGACATATGGGAATGAAGTAGTAAATGCTGTATTAAGTATGTTGAGTCCAGAAGAAAATGATAATGCATGGCACGGAGGTTGTTTAGCACTTGCTGAATTGGGTATTTCTTTTTTATAAAGATACAATTTTATCTTTTTTTATTTTATTTTAGCTGATTATTGTTTTTATTTATTTAAGGTCGCCGTGGCTTACTTCTTAGTGAAAATTTACCACTTGTTGTACCAGCTGTTATAAATGCTTTGGTGTATGATGAACCTAAGGGTTATACTTCTGTTGGATCACATATTCGAGATGCTGCTTGTTATGTTTGTTGGTCATTTGCTAGAGCATTTAGTACTAAAGACATACAACCATATGTTGAAGAAATTGCTGGTGCACTATTAGCTGTCGCTTGCTATGATAGAGAAGTGAATATAAATAATTGTAACTTTTTTAATTGTTATTTATTTATTTATATTTTTTAGTTAACTTGTCGCAGAGCAGCTTCAGCAGCATTTCAAGAGAATGTTGGCCGTCAAGGTACTTTTCCTCATGGGATTGACATTGTCACAGCAGCTGATTATTTTTCAGTTGGTATGCGTAATAATGCTTATTTAGAAGTGAGCACTTTTATTGCGCAATACAAAGAATACAATGAACTTCTTATTAAACATTTGTTAGAAAAAAAAGTAGTACATTGGGATACTTCAATTCGAGAATTAGCTGCAATGGTATTATGATATTCTATAAACCATTAATTTTTTAATAAAATGTATTATTTTTATAGACTTTGGGAAGACTTATAGAATTAAAACCATCAAAAGCTAAAGAATCAGTTTTATCAGAGCTACTATTGTTAGCAGAAACATCAAACATTAACAAACGGCATGGAAGCGTTATGGCTATCGGAGAAGTATTATATGGAATATCTAAAACTCTTGATCTTAATGTTGAACTGGGAGAAGAACTTTTAGAAAAAATTATTAATCTTGTTCTCAATTTGAAAAACCATGGGAAATTAAAAGGCATCAGTAGTGAATTAGTGAAAATGGCGTGTTGTCATCTTATTAAGCTCATAGCTATTAGCAACATCATTGTTAAAGACAAACAAATTATAGGTAAGATTAATTTAAGTTAAAGGTCGTCAACCTTTTATCTGTGTGAGAATATTTCAGTGGTTTGCATAAAAGTATAAACTCAATTAGATTTTAATTTTATTAACCTTCAATTACATTGAAAAAAACTGTGTGTTTAATTTACAAAAAGTTCTATATTTTTCCATTTATTCTTAATTTTTATACTTCTTTCAATCATGAGTATTCACGAATACCGTGTGTCCACGGAAATAGGGTACACTTTACCACTTATTACCCTTTATATATTTTTAATTATGTTTTCGTGACATTAAATTAGACTATTGGATCTTTAATCTCGATGACTTATAATTTTTTTTATTCACGTATTTTGCGTATGCGCAACACAACATCCCTTTTTTTAAATGGCAAACCCTATTTTGATTATCATTTTTAGATTAATGGATTTTTTTCAAGTAATTTTGATTTTACAACTACTATACTCAAACCAGTATTGACTGAATGAGAGCTATTTAAAATTAAAAAAAAAAAATTATTTTGTTGACATTTATTTTTTAATTTTAATTTTGTTATTTAAAGCCCTACTGTACATTTTTTATTTACAATTCAATTTACAAAAATCACAAACATAAGTTACTCGATAAATTGTTCGAAAATCCCTCCATTATTTAGAACGCATGCTTCAAATCGACTTGAACATTCACGATTAGTTGCTGACAGTATTTGATTTTCATTCAAAAGGTTACACGCGTGTATAATTTTATTTTTAAGTCTTGAATGTTAAGTGCATCTGTATACACAACGTTTTTCAACTATCTCTACAAAAAAAAATCTAATGGTGTTAGGTTAGGTGACCTTGGAAGCCACTCTACTGTTCCGTGTGTTGCAATCAATTTTTCACCAAATCTTACTTTTATAAATTATTGTATAATTCGGGAATTATGAGCAGGTGTCCCATCTTGTTGATAATAAATTTTTCTACGTGTATCTAAGGGTAAACCATCTTAAAAAAGTGGCAAATTATCACGCAAAAAATCTAAATATCTTCTTCCTCTTAAAGTTCCGTCGTAAAAATGAGGCCCTAGTAACTTTCCACCAATCATACTAATCCATACGTTTATACCCGAACATGTTTGAAAGTTTGTTGGAACAAACCAGTGAGGATTTTCATTTGACCAATAATGATTTTTTGTTAATTTAATATTCCATTATTAGTAAATTTACTTTCATCAGCCCATAAAATATGATTAATTAATAATGGATCATCCTCAGACGTCATCATAAACCAAGAAATAAAATTTAAACTTTTTTCTGGGTCTGTTATACGTAAATGTTGGACAAAGTCTGGTTTGTAAGGGTTTAGTTTGTATTTTTTTAATATCTTATGAACTAAAATTTTGGATACACCAACTTCACGTCCAACGTATCTAATAGACAAACGTGGGTTAAGATGTACAAATGGCAAGACTTAATTTTCAATATCCTCATTTAAATTTTGATTTGCATGAGGTTGTTGATGAACAGCATTTGTTTTATTGAACGAACCATTTTCTTTTAACGACTTTTTAAGTTTTTGAACATAAGTATAATGAGGATGGTACTTATCTGGTTATTGGCGGGCGTACATCATTGTTTCTTCACGTGCATTTCTGTTACATTTTTCATAAATCAACAGTAACTGAACTTTTTCATAATTATTCATGATAGAATTTTTATTTTGAAAAAATTCAAACTTTAACTTTATAATACCAATTGACAATATTTTTGTAATCTACCCATACCTATTAAAATACCATTACATAGGTATTTTCATATTTAAAGACCTATTATGAGATTCATTATCAGAGTCGTGTGTCATTGCGGTCCAACAGAAAACGTAGAACTACTAAGACCACAATGACACACGACTCTGATAATGAATCTCATAATAGGTCTTTAAATATGAAAATACCTATGTAATGGTATTTTAATAAGTATGGGTAGATTACGAAAATGTCTTTAATGAACCATATCCATAAATTATGATAAAAATAAAATAGGTAAATATTCATATTCAATATGTTAAAATAAAAAACTATATATCTGATGAAATAGACGTCACCTCAAGTATTCCTTAAGGTGGTCACCTTTCTCCTCTTTTGTTCAATTTATTTATAAATGATATTATTTATTCTATTAAATACTTTAATATCTTACTTTTTGCTGATGATGATAAATTTTTTAAAGCCATAAATTCTCTTTCTGATTCCGAAGATCTCCAAAATGATTTATTAAGCTTTAATAATTGGTGCACTCTTAATGGTCTTTCCTTAAATATTAATAAATGTTAATCAATGACTTTATCTATAAAAAACTCAATAACTTGGTCTTTGACTATAGTTTGAATGATATTATTCCTACTCGTACAAACATAACCTTGGTATTCTTTTTGACACAAAACTATCATTCTCCTCTCATATCATCTCTATCAAAAATAAAGCTTTATCTATGTTTGGTCTTATTATGCGTAATTGTTTTTCTTTTAATGATTCTTTCACCTTTAAATGTATTTTACTTCCATTATCAGGTTTAATTTAGAATATGCTACAATTATCTGGGACTCTAATGCTATTGGCGTTTCCAATCACATTGAAGCTGTCCAAAATAAATTTTTACGATTTATTAGCTTTAAATTCAATATATCAAGGACTCCTCATTCTGATTATGATAAAATTAACAAATATTTAAATCTCAATTCCTTAAAAGATCGCAGGAAAGATTCGTATATTACATTTTTAAAAAATTTATTAAATAATTAAATAGATGATTCTTATTTATTAAGTCTTATTTACATATAAGTCAATAGTCATAATACTAGGGAGTCATGTCCAAGGCCGTAACTGGAAAAAAATTTCGGGGGGGGGGTCCGGATTCCTGGACCCCCCCAATTACGACCTTAGTCATGTCTATTATATATAACTCATTCTTCTCGCAAATACTTATTAGAATCCCCTATTAATAATCTATTACTTAATGGTAACTCTGTCAATACCGATTTTGATTTTTTTTTATAATTCTGTCTTTTATTTATAATGTACCTTTAATATTTAATTTAATTTTTTTCTTTTTTTTTTTGTTGTTGTTTTGTTTTATATAGTTTCTACATTAATATTCTTGTTATTATTATTTTTATTATTATCATGTTATAATCTTTTATCACAATTGTTATTCTAACTAAAAGTTCTAATATTAAACATTTCAACTTGTAATTGGACTCAGGTCCGTAAATAAATAAATAAATAAATATGTTTATGAATGTATGATTACGCCAATTTGAAGCATGCGTTAAAATTAATGATGGAATTTTCGAACAATTTATTGAGTAACTTATGTTTGTGATTTTTGTAAATTGAATTGTAAATAAGAAAAAGGGGAGTAGAGCTTAAAATAATAAAATTAAAATTAAAAAATAAATGTCAACAAATAATTTTTTTTTTTAATTTTAAATAGCTCTCATTCAGTCAATACTGGATTGAGTATAGTAGTTGTAAAATCAAAATTACTTAAAAAAATCCATTAATCCAAAATGATCTTCAAAATAGGAGTTGCCATTTAAAAAAAGTGAAGTTGTATTGCGCATGCGCAAAATACGTAAATAAAAAAATTGTAAATCATCGAAATTAAAAATCCATTAGTCTAATTTTTTGTCCTGAAAACAGAATTGGAAAAATATATAAAAGGTAAAGGTCGATTCATACTGGTCCGGGCCGGAACCTAACCGGGTTTTAGAATTTTATTCTGACAATTCACATTTGTCCGGGCCAGGTGTCCGTGCGGGATCCGGGTCAAAAAATAATTGTTTAAAACAATTCTGTATCCGGGTTCCCGGACAGGTTGACGCCGATCTGGACACATCGTGACAAATGTGAATGATGAACCGGGCCGTATCCGTGTTTTGTGTTTTTCATTCATTCGCCATTCGTCATATGTCATAAAAATTTAAAAAAAGCTGTTGATTCATAATTAAATTTATATATTTTAAATTATAACTATGGATTCAAAAAAATATTATGAGTTTAGTGCTTACTTAAAACTTATTTACTTTGAGTATTAGTTTTAAAATTAAAAATTTAATTCAGGTAAACATTTAAGCACTAAGATATTAGAAAAATGCACACAGACAAACCACATGGTTTTTCATTCGATCGAGACTAATGACTGAAGTAAAATTGTAAGTTGTAAATAAAACAAAGTTGTTAACTCGGAGGGGGCCCGGACGAGTGTGAATGCCTGATCCAAGTACACCCGGACGTTCCGTTACGTGTCACGAACCAAGCTCGGACTCGGTCCGAACCAGTGGGAATCGACCTTGATGAGTGGTAAAATGTACCCTATTTCCGCGGACACACGGTTTATTCTTATTTGTAAATTTAAGAATTTAGATTAATTCTGTATAATATAAATCTTTATCTTTATTTGTTTTTTAATAAATTAAATTAAAACCTTCAAAGATTTTATGAAAACATTTATAATTTTGTTGCATTGAAAAATTGAATTTAATATTAATAAAATACAATTTTTCTAATCATTAATTAATAAATACATTTATCTTTTTTAGAATCTTTTTTTATTTATTTTTTTAGGTCTTAATAGGTTGGCGACCACTAATTTAAGTGATTGATAGTTTCTAGTCAAGATAATAGGATAGTTAAATATATTTTTTACTTTTAGATGAATGGAGATTGTTGTTAGAGGATTGTCTGACAAATGAATTATTAGATTTACGAAGTAAAGCTGCTCAAGCTATTGGACCTCTATTTGAAAAATATATAGTTCTTGAGTCTACTGAAACTTGTGATATAATCAATATGTATATGAATAAATTGCTTTCTAATAATATGATGGAACGTATTGGTTATAGTTTGGTATTAGGATCATTACCTCCTTCATTTATACATAAAAATATCCAACAAATATTGAAGAGCCTCATAGGTTGTACTCAAATAACTCGACTGACAATCAAATGGGCTGAATCTCGAAGAGATGCTGTTATTGCGATAACAAAAATTTGGTCTAAACTAATTAAAACACCATGTATGCTATATATTTCAAATTATTATATCATATTTTTAACTTTAATATTTAAATTTTTTATACTAGGTTATGTGGAAAAATGTGTTGAACATTCAAATATTATTTTGTGTTGTTTAATAAACTGTGCTTTAGAGTATACCATGGACCACAGAGGTGATGTAGGTGTATGGGTAAGAGAAGCAGCTATCAATGGTTTAGAAGTATGTATTACCATCAAATAATATTTTTAACACCATATTTTTGCATTACATTAATTTATATTTATATGAAATAGATAGTAGTATTGGATTTGACTGATATTCAATGTAACGTACTTAATGAATGTACAATGAATCATATTATGAGCGCTCTAGTAAGACAAGGTGTTGACCGTATAGACAAAATTCGAGGACTGTCTTGTATGGTGATAACAAATTTATTACACAGGTCAATATGATAAATAATTCATATTTATAACCAGGACCTGCGAGAGGGTAGGACAGGGGGGCTAAAACCTCAAGGCCTATATATAAGGGTTCGTTGCCTCAATCTTTTATACAAAATTATTTTACAACCCTATTCTCCATAGCATTAGAAGCAAATTTTAATATTTTTATTGTACTATAGTATGTAAAAGTAGGTTTTTACTGGTAGTATGTATTTATTGGCCAAACAAGTTTAAGTAAAGGGCCTGGATCTGATCAACCTTGGGGCCTCAAAAGTTCTCGCCATCCATGTTTATAACAATGTTTATGATACATTTCATAATATTAATATACCATATATTATTGTATAATATGTTCTTCTCTATAATGTTTTTATAGGAAAAAAAATATTGTTCCAAATATTGCTCATAGAGATGAACTTGAGAGATTATTTAAAAAAAAGGATTCATTCAACTGGTTCACAGAATCTGACTCATTTTCTGTTATGGTGAAATTTCTTAGTATGCCGGAATACAAATACTCAGTATTAGTTGGTCTATTAGTATGTATTGGAGGTGTTTCTGAAAGTCTAGTAAGTATTTTGTATAAAAATAATAAAATATTACATCTTATTGATGAACCACATTTTTTAATTCAGGTGAAAGAAGCTTGTCATCATTTCACTGAACATATGAAATCAGTTACTGATGATGAATTTGAAAAATTATGCAGTGATATTATTGCTGTATGGGAAGGTAAAGTATTGGAAGTTGAAGCAGATGAAAGAATTCATCAGTGCATTTTGATGTCTATTGAACGACTAGCTACAGCTGGAGCTTTTAAGGATCAATTTGAACGTAGCGAATCAGAATTTGCTGCCAATATATTAACATTTATAAAAAAAGAAGCAATTTCTTCCAAAGGGTCAACCAAATTAATATCGTGTGTTGAATTGCTTTGTCATTTAGTTCAGGTAGATTCTATTATATATTTTTTTATACATTTCAACAAAAAAATGTTTTTTTCAGGTTCCTGGATCTGTTGGTGTACGCTCAATGACTCAACTATCAATATTCTTAGCACATCGTTTTGCCTGGTTACGTAAAGTAGTTGCAGCTCGACTAGTAGAAGTCTTAATAGTTTATTCTGACAGATTTGGAGTATCAGATAATAACATAAATGAAGTTATTGAATTACTTGAAGAATTTGATTGGCAAGAATCTAGTGTAGAAAAAGTGAGGAGTGAGCGAAACAAAATTTGCAATCTTCTAAATATACCTATTCCAAAAGTTGTTGTGAAAACCTAATCAAATGCACTATTATTTCTAATTTTATTTTTAATGTTTTTTATATTAACTTATTAGCATTTGTGATGTATTCATTTTATTTTTTATAAATTGTTTCCAGTTTTTACTGTCTACTATTAACTTTATTCTAATTAAAATTTTCATTTTTTTATATTATAAAATACAAATTCTCACAGTATTTAAAATTAACATTTATATTTTTTATAATAAAATACTAATAAGGTTGCCTTACCACAGATTAAATTTACTGTGTAGCAATCTGTTTACATATGTTCAACAGCTAGTTATTAGAGCTCTGTATTGTCTGATCTAGACCGGACCAGACTTTTTCAGTCTTTGGGTTTTTTAATTTAATGTGGTACAGTCCAATCCCCTTGTCTAAAAAAAAAAAATCAGCGAAAGAGGTCAGTGGATTACTTTTTAAATACAATAAAATCTAGTAAATGTTTTTGTTAGTATTCTGTAAAAATGTCAAGTCCTGATTATTATTTTTTGAGTTATTTAATTTTTATATTCAATTTAATTAAATTCAAAATAGTATATATTAATAGGGACTCTGCCTCTGTTTGCTATACTTGCAAACCAGATCCCTTTTATCCAATAATCTACTATTGTAGATTATATTTTAAATCTTGCTATAGTATCTTTTATTTTAATTTAAATATATAACAGCCTGTTCTTTTTATATATTATTATTTAATCTGGTTTAGTCTTTCTAATTTATTTTAATTAATTATCTAATTTAAAAACCATTTTAGATTGTTCTTGTACAAAGTGTTTAGGTACCTATTCAAGTAAGGTACAGACTGGTTTATGATCATTTTTTAACATTTGGTCCTAGCCTTTTCTTGTACATTCTAGATGATACGGTCCAGTCTTATTTTTTTTTTTTTTTTTTATTTACCGGCAATACACCCACCACCCGGAAACACTGTTAGGTAATACCTCGGGTGGTGGGTCGCAATCAATTATTGAAAAATCGTACATTTATAATTATAATTATAATTGGGGCGACCACGGGACAGTCCCCCGTGGCCGGCCCCTTACAAAAAATTTTACCCGAAGATCCTCCACCGGAAGCCGGCAGAATGCGTATCGGTCAGACGACCCACCTCCGCGCCGCTCTCCTCGCCAGCTTTGACGAAGCTATCCCCTGTCGGGATTACCTCTCGCGCTCCGCCTCCTCCTTGGCGGCCATCACGTCTTTCGCAAAACGGGCCACCGCCCCTCAATTGGCCGGGTTCTCCAACATTAAGGGAATTAAACCTCTCGAATCGAATGGTCCAATTGCCTGGAGCAGACGCTCCTGGTCACCGTCAAACGCTTCGCAGCGGACGAGTGTGTGAGCCGCGTCGTTTTCTTCCTCACTGTAACCGTCGGGCGGACCACAATGGGAACACCCGTTTAAAGGGGCCCGGGCGATTCTCTTGAGAAACCAATTTAAACAACTGTGCCCTGTCAGTAGTTGTGTGAGGTGGAAGGACATTTCACCGTGGGGCCTGTTCACCCACCGGCTTAGTAGGTCCGGGGGGATCAGAGCTCAGGTCCACTCGCGTCCACTGTCTGTGGGTGGTACCATGCCCAGTAGTCTCCCGGTCCACTTCGCCACCGTCCGAGCCCTCAAGGACTGGGGACCGGCTGGCGGCGTAGCCGTCATTGTTTCCCCCGGCGGTGGGACCCCCTTTTGTCAGTCCCTGGTGTTCTTAACGCCCTTCTGATCTCGAACGTATCGTTCGGTCAGGTCTTGGTCTTAGTTAAAATGTATCAATCCTCTTGTGCGGTCTATAGAAAAACGGGCCATGGAGAGCTCTATTAGGTATACGAGATATTTTTTAACGTATCTTTTTGCAAACATGCACATAACTGACAAATTAATAAAATCCCACGACAAAGTTGATTACTGATATATCATGTTTATTCACAATAATTATACGTGAACCATGTAAATAGTATAATATTTCTAAAATGTTGTATAACCAGGTATGCTTCAAAACGAATTAAAAAGAAAAGGAGGTGCAGAAAATAAGAGATAAAAATCGTAGTTGTTAGAAGAAAGCAAAACATGTGTAAAATTAGATAGTATAATATATATGATAATTTCAAATATAATATAACTTATATTAACTTCGAAAAAAAAGGTGGTAATTGCCGGGTTGGTTCTCTCAAAGTTGAACTTGGAAATAATCATGCGGGCCGATGTATTCTATTTTTCCCAGGCCGGTCAGATTATGCCTATCCGCCGCTGTATACAACTTGAATTAATTTAATATTCAATAAAATGCATATGCTCCCTGTAGTGATCCAAACACACGATTACTACAGAAGAACCCCTTTATTGATTTGTTTTCTCTCTTATATACATTTAGCAATAATAATAATAATTTAATTGGCTTACACGCTAATAGAAGAAAAAATGTTTTTTATATTTCAAAATATTTATGCTAGCTTATTTTCTATTGCGACATTAATATGACCTGAATTTGAATTGCCTAATACTACAGCCCTCAATCTAAATACTAATTTACGTACAAACAAAATTTGTCATTAGTTACTATTATAGGTTTTGTTCAAATTTTAGCAAGATTAAGATATATTAATAATAATTAAATCATTAAGATTTTGGATATTCCTTAGTAAAGTGAATGCCATACACTGAATAACAAGAATTGTCAAACTTATTATTTCGTGTTAAGATTATTGGAATAGATGATTAGATTTTATACTTATTTCAAACATAATATTCTGAAATTTATTATTTTTAATTTTTTTTTATCTAGGAGAGCTATACAAATATTTAAGGGCACTAAGCCCTCCTTAGTTGCATCTATACTATTAACTGTTTAAAATTAAAATAAAAATTTAACTGTAACTAAATTTAAATATAATTTATAATGACAAAATACACATTTTTAATTATTTTGTTCCAACTTTCACTCGCTGTAAATCAGCCAGTTTTTGAGATAGAAATTTTTTTTAATTATGAAAAAAATGCTTAAAAATAATTAGTCTATCCGTATCTGGTGTTAAAAATATCTGTTGTAATTTAAAAGAAATGCAAGCTGTGTTGTGTATGCGCACACTGAATGGGTTAGAAATTTGAAAATCATCAAAAAACATGTATTTTAGTATATACCCTAACGGCCCCAGAAAACTCCATTTCCATCCGAGATCACTAGACAGAAATATTTCGTTTTACTATTTAAGTCATTACTGTATTACAATTTATAATATCAATCGATGGTGGTGGAAATATAAATTTGGTCGAATAAGTCTTCGGCATGCTATAAGAAACTCTTTCGCATGGGTAGAAGTCATCATCACGGCAACCTGCGCGTAAACGATACGTGTATTCATGGGCGCCCGCAAGGGGGGGCTAAAGGGGCCATTGCCCCTACTGGGAACTTTTGTTTCAAAACTATTGTTAATTTAATACCATGCATATTAATTATAACATAATTTTATTGAGATCCATTTATGAAGTTTAGTAAAATTTATCATATTTTTAGATATTCTAAAATGTATAATCTTGAATGTATTTATTTGTTTACAATGTTTACGCAAGACTGCATATCGCTTAAGACTATAAATTCTCCCGAGTACCGATTTCTATGGTATTTGATTTTGTTCTCATATATTTTTAGATAAACTCTTAGAGTTTTAATCTTGCCCCGGGTGGGATTTCATCCTGCGGGCGCGCTTGCGTGTATTTTACCCGATTACATATGGTATCTACCGTCTAACCTACTAATGCAATATTATTGATTGATCTAAATTTCTTATTGTTTACTTGAGATTGATCCATATTTCAAGATTTCCAATTACAAAATTGAATGATCAATGTTTGAAAATTCTTAAATTTTAAAATATTCAAATTAAATATACAATTCTTATCAAATTACAAGGTTTATCTGTGCGATTGACAAAAGATTGGTATATTTTGGTTTTAATAATTCATGAATATATATTTTGTTTTTTACATAGAAAACAAAGACTATAACTTTCTTCATGGTGTGGATTTTAATCTGGTAGTTTTTATTTTAGTAGGGTGGAAACATATTGGCAATTGAAATATGTATCTTCCGGAAAGCAAAATTGGCAACTGTATGCAAAACATAGTTGCTGTATCACAATCAGCCACAATGCCACTAAAAGTTAATACAATTCTTATAAACAATGATATTACTTAAGAAAATTTATTTATTTATTAAAGAAAACAAAACAAATAAAATAAATACTAAATTATTTTTATTTTACTTTTTTACATGAAAACTAAAAGCAGGAGGCATTACATTGCGTTAACGAATGTATGCACAATTAAATTAACAATTAGATTATGAGGATAACATTAATATATTAATGGTGTTTTCTCTTCGGATAATTAATAGTATAAACATATTTTGTACTATGAAAATGATAATAAATGCTTTAAATTAATTATGTATTTGACATCAAATTAATAACAAATTGTTATACACTCTAAATTCAAGTAAAAAAAAAAAAAAAAAAAAATGAATAAAAATAAAAATACATACTTAATATATATATATATATATATTATATGTATATAAGAAAATTGGTTTAACGTGTTAGGGTAACTAAAAATTATACAATTTCAAAATGAGGAAGACTTTTAAAAAAGAAGAATATTTCAAACATTAACACATCTAAACGTTAATAATATATTAGTAATTTTTATTTTTTAAAGAATATTAACAATATTTAAATATTATCTTAAACATTAATTCAATAATTTGGTGTCTCTGGTTAAAAATTAACAATCACAACATTGTTGGTGTTAGAAAAATGTACAATCGACTCAATAGACATAAAGACAGGGAATATCTGTTAATTTAATAATAAATACTGTACATTAATAATATTAAAATAATTTTGTACATTGAAGAAAGAAAACAAAGGGAATGTGGAGTCGATTTACTTATATGTACAACAATTTATAACAGAAATATTATAATTTATAATTTTTTAGTTTTTCATTTTAATCAATTTTTTTTTTAAACTATATAAAATACTTAAACAAATAATTTGGTAAGTTTAAAATTATTTAGAGAAATAGATATTTTGTAGAAAAATATAAGCTGCCAAAGAAATAAAATAATTATAATAATAGTAATAATAATAAAGAAAAAATATATATTATACATATACACACA